AGTGCTCCACAGGTGTTAGCTACAGCTAGTACCTGATTCTATGTGATGGACACTGAAAACAGTGAAGTAGATCTTTTATGCTGTCAGCTAATAGGCCATCTCTAAGAAATGCCTGCTGTGTTCACTCAGGCTGCCAAAACCCATTTTGAAATCTTTATTTTCTGTTAGATAAATTTTTAAGAGTAATCCTAAATTTTCACAACTAGAAAAATACTCTAGTATAAGAATGATAGAATTGCTTTGTAATTTGAAAACACAGACACGGGTTTTGTTCTTATTTTTTACTAATCAGTGTATAGTCTGGGGTGCATGCTAATTGTAATGCCACAAATTAACAGATTTATTCAGACTTCGTTCATGCAACAGGTTTTGAGTACCTACCACGTACTGGCTGTGGGCATGTACACTGCAGGGCTAGTGGTGTGGTCCTGAGGTTTACATTTTACCAAGATGAATAGATGAACGCGAACTGGCAATTATAATACAGAGTGTGTGCTGGTCAGTGTTGGGAGAGCATTTCAGAAAACATAAAGCCAGCTTGTTAAGGGGAGAGAAGATGGCTAAGAGGGGTTTTCCAGAGTGAGGTGATAGCTAAGCAGTCTCAAAAGATGAGCAGGTATTTGCCGGTTGGTAGATGGTTTTGATGGAGTTTCTGTTTATATAGTTTTATTTCTTGAGCTAATTGTTGGGAATTTAAGAAGCTTGTGACTGTGTTTTTAATGAGCACTGTTTAGATATAAACTAAATCTTGATTTGTTCCGGAAAAATTGTATTTAATCCTCAGTCCACATTAGGAACACTTTAAATTGTTAGTGTTGCATGGAGCTCTGCCGGGTACTGTGTGATGACCTAGAGGGGTGGGATGAGGGTGGGCGGAGGTAAGTGTATACCTGTTGCTGATTCACAGTGTTGTACAGCAGAAACTAGCACAACATTGTAAGCAGTTATCCAATTAAAAATAAATTTTAAAAAGTTGTTAGTATTGTTCTTTACTAATCTCTGCTCTGATACTTCGGGGACAATCAGATTAAGAAAACTAAAATTTATCATGAACTATGTCTAAAGGTTGTAGTGGGAAGCCTCCAAACCAGTAAAATGTGCATTAGCAGCATTGATTTAATCTGATAGCATTCATATTAAAAGTACGGCTTGTGTTCCCTATAGGTATAAGTCTTCTAAAAGACTTCCCTTACAAATGTGGGCCTCTCAAGGATATACAATGGAAAAAACACAACCTCTTTAACAAGTGGTGCTGGGAAAACTGGTCAACCACCTGTAAAAGAATGAAACTAGAACACTTTCTAACACCATACACAAAAATAAACTCAAGATGGATTAAAGATCTAAATGTAAGACCAGAAACTATAAAACTCCTAGAGGAGAACATAGGCAAAACACTCTCCGACATAAATCACAGCAGGATCCTCTATGACCCACATCCCAGAATTTTAGAAACAAAAGCAAAAATAAACAAATGGGACCTAATGAAACTTAAAAACTTTTGCACAACAAAGGAAACTATAAGCAAGGTGAAAAGACAGCCCTCAGATTGGGAGAAAATAATAGCAAACGAAGCAACAGACAAAGGATTAATCTCAAAAATATACAAGCAACTCCTCCAGCTCAACTCCAGAAAAATAAATGACCCAATCAAAAAATGGGCCAAAGAACTAAACAGACATTTCTCCAAGGAAGACATACAGATGGCAAAAAAACACATGAAAAGATGCTCAACATCACTCATTATCAGAGAAATGCAAATCAAAACCACAGTGAGGTACCATTATACGCCAGTCAGGAAGGCTGCTATCCAAAAGTCTACAAGCAGTAAATGCTGGAGAGGGTGTGGAGAAAAGGGAATCCTCTTACACTGTTGGTGGGAATGCAAATTAGTACAGCCACTATGGAAAACAGTGTGGAGATTTCTTAAAAAGCTGGAAATAGAACTGCCATATGACCCAGCAATCCCACTTCTGGGCATACACACCGAGGAAACCAGATCTGAAAGAGACACGTGCACCCCAATGTTCATTGCAGCACTGTTTATAATAGCCAGGACATGGAAGCAACCTAGATGCCCATCAGCAGACGAATGGATGAGGAAGCTGTGGTACATATACACCATGGAATATTACTCAGCCATTAAAAAGAATTCATTTGAATCAGTTCTAATGAGATGGATGAAACTGGAGCCCATTATACAGAGCGAAGTAAGCCAGAAAGATAAAGATCATTACAGTATACTAACACATATATATGGAATTTAGAAAGATGGTAACGATAACCCTATATGCAAAACAGAAAAAGAGACTCAGATGTATAGAACAGACTTTTGGACTCTGTGGGAGAAGGCGAGGGTGGGATGTTTCAAGAGAACAACATCGAAACATGTATATATTATCTAGGGTGAAACAGATCACCAGCCCAGGTTGGGTGCATGAGACAAGTGCTCAGGCCTGGTGCACTGGGAAGACCCAGAGGGATCGGGTGGAGAGGGAGGTGGGAGGGGACCAGGATGGGGAATACATGTAAATCCATGGCTAATTCATTTCAATGTATGACAAAAACCACTGCAATGATGTAAAGTAATTAGCCTCCAACTAATAAAAATAAATGGGAAAAAAAAAAAAATGTGGGCCTCTGCTGAAAAAGATTCGCTTTGAAACCAGAAGCATTTAGGAGTCCCCTAGCCAAAAATAAAGTTTCCTGTTGGGCAGTCTGCCCAACCTTCTGGCTGACTTGTGGTAAAATCACTAATGATTGGGGTTTTCTGGCCAGTAAAGCAACAATCCCACTATCTTTCCACTGGGAGGGTTTCTTGAGTTCTCTCCTATGTGTATGTCCAGAAAGAAAAAATTACTTTGGTTCTGGAAAAAAGTTGGTTTTGTTTCACAAACAACTCAGTTGCTCTTGTATTGTGTATGTGTCCGTTTACTGTAGTCCCTCAAAGATCCTTACTTACTATGCTTTCCCTTTAGTCGCTTCTTTAATATTTTAGTCGTTTCTTAATATTTGATGAGAATGAGACTGGTGGTCACTTAGTTCATTACGTGTATGTTTTGGAGTCCAAAGAGGTGATTTGCTCAAGACTGAAACCAGTACAGAAACCTTGCTTCTAGTTGCCAGTCCAATACACTCAACTTTTTTTTTTTTGCTGTACCCTCTTAAGAGTTTGACCCTTCCCCCTTGTCATCCTTTCTTATTTATTGTCTTAACACCTTTCCATTTCTGCTCAACTTGTTTCCTCAGAGAATTTCACTTCAGTGGCTATTCAGGCTGAAGGAGGGCTTCCCTTAAGACAGTATTTTTCAAATTTGGGCATAGCCCGTTTTAATGGGGGGAAAAAAATACTCAGCAGATACCAGGGTTTTTTTAACTTGCAGTTTTTATTACTCTGTAATGTTACTTAGATATTTACAGAACAAAGCTAGATACAAACCAGTTAAACATATTGCTCTTGTTTAGCATTAGGCTAGATGATTTTGAATTTGAATATAAAGCCTTCAAAACTGATAAAGTTTAAATTGACTATTGATTTAATCTGCTTATCACTTTATATTGGGTTTAATGGTGGAAGGATGTAGGCTTAGTTCTGTACTTGGTCTGGTTCTGTGTTTTTGCTTCAGTTCTGGTTCAGAGAGTGCCTCCTTTCATGAATCTTTTGTATAAAATAAGTGTTAAGTTTTTTTTTTTCTTTTTATAAAATAAGTGTTAAGACTTTTATTACAACCTGATGATAATCAGTCCCCATATTTAACCAGACCCTGGCACTTCGTAAGGGGCTTCCCTGGTGGCTCCCCGGTGACTCAGGCCGTAAAGAATATGCCTGCAATGTGGGAGACCCGGGTTTGATGCCTGGGTTGGGAAGATCCCCTGGAGAAGGGAATGGCAACCCACTCCAGTCTTCTTGCCTAGAGAATCCCATGGACAGAGTGTCTGGTGGGCTGCAGTCCATGGGGTCGCTGAGAGTCAGGCAGGACTTAGAGACTGAACAGCAACAGCAGCCACTTCATAACTGTAAGATTAAGGTGAAGTTAGTAATGCAGTGCTGCTTGTTATTTATTACCCTGGAGAAGGAAATGGCAACCCACTCAAGTATTGTTGCCTGGAAAATCCCATGGACAGAGGAGCCTGGCAGGCTGCAGTCCATGGGCTTGCAAAAGGATTGGGCACAACTTGATAACCAAACAACAACAGGCAGTGCAGTGCTGTTGTTATATATTTAATTAATAACTGTCTAATCTGTTGCAACTAGAGTCAAAACAGAATTTCATTTCTTACTGCTACCCACCTGCTGATAAATGAATTATTATAAGGCCAGAGGTTATCTTGTGCTTCACTTTGATAGTGAGTAGAACCCGAGTGCTCTGATGTGATGTGTGCTGTGCCATGATCTCGTCCTCCTTTTTCTCAAGTTTTACCTGTTCCAATTACTAGGAAACCTTTCTCACAGCACACACTGACATCCTTTGCCCTGTATAGACATGAGTGTATTCACAAATTCAGGCCTAGAAAGTTGCATAGCAAAATACCCACAGCAAGCATACACTGTGTTTTAATGAAAAACAGCACAGTAAATTTTTTTCATAAGATAAATCTGGGACCATGGAGAGAGACCTGTGGTCCTCTGAAAAACACTGATTGGGACGGGGGAGATCCTGAGCATTTCCAATCTCATATTTTAAAACAAGGAATTGTTAGAACTGACTCAGTAGCATGACAATCTCTTAAGACCACCTGCTTTACAAATACTAGTTCATTTATAAGGCTGGAGAAGAGAAGATGACGGGAGGCAAGAAGAGCTGTTCTGGTGAGTGGGCTGTAGGTGAACAAGGCCAATTGTTAAGTGTCCTGAAAATAAAGCCTAGTCAGAAAGTAGTTAAACTATGTTTTTGTCTCCTATTTATTTAAAGCTTGTGCCTTTTCATATATGTTTAATTTTTATATGAAATCTTACTTTGACTTCACTTGACTAAATTGGGGTTTTTCTCCCCCTACAGTGAGAGGGTCCAAGCCTGGTAAAAATGTCCAGCTACAGGAGAATGAAATCAGAGGACTGTGCTTAAAGTCCCGAGAGATCTTTCTCAGTCAGCCTATCCTGCTAGAACTTGAAGCACCACTCAAGATATGTGGTAAGTTTTGGTGCACTGTTACCTTTGGTTATGTGATTAATTGACTGAGTCAAGGGTATATATAGATGGTATATAGATGATGTTATGTTAGCCAATAGAATCATGTACTATTTATGAATAACCTAGAATTACATTATATAATTGTAGCTTTAGAATAAATACCTCTAATGGACCTAGTTTACTTAGATGTACTTCAAAATTGCTTAAAATTATTTTGCTAAAGAAATACAAACATTGCCGAAGAAAGGAACGGAAACAGAATGGAGAGCTAAGAAAAGGCCTGAACCTATATATAAGCTTAAAGCAAAGGAAAATACTCTTCGGCATTATCTAGCAGGTAGACATTGAAAGCCAGATGTATTGGTGGATGTAGTGTGTGTGTGTACCTTTGTTCACATGGGGTCAGGGCTTGTTAAGAGTGCATCACTTCTGCTGGCACTGTCCCTAGAGACTGAGCTGTTGAATATCGATATTGATCAGCCAGCCTGAAAGGGAAACCGTGTTACTTGGCAGGAAGGCCTGCCTAGCCGTTAATAATCCGTTCTGCAAAATAAATTATTAATTACTTGAGTTTTGTGTATGATTCTGATATACACATACACTTAAAATTTTCACTAAGCTCTGTTGGACTAAATACTACACAACAGTGGAAATTAGTTTTATGTGCGTGGTTTGAACTATACGAATGAAGACACTGTGTAATAAAAATTCTTGCTTCTAGGTGATATCCATGGGCAATACTATGATTTGCTTCGACTTTTTGAGTATGGTGGTTTCCCACCAGAAAGCAATTACCTGTTTCTTGGGGACTATGTGGACAGGGGAAAACAATCACTGGAGACTATCTGCCTCTTGTTGGCTTACAAAATCAAATATCCCGAGAATTTTTTTCTTCTCAGAGGAAACCACGAATGTGCCAGCATCAATAGAATTTACGGATTTTATGATGAATGTAAGTACTTTCTACAGGAAGATTTGTATTGAGATACGTGGTCATAAACTGAACATGTTTCTGTTAGGATTTGTGAGAATTTACATGTAGTGTTGTCATTTTTCATGCTTACTATTTTGTTAACTAGTTTTTGTCCTGACTTCTTTCTTGTGGTAAAAAAAAATTAACATTTGTTACAGTATGATGATGCCCGGGATTCTTGTATGATGTGATGATTAGATTAGGAAATAGTGATAGCAGTGGTGATTTCTTTTAAGGTAATTGTTGTGAATAGTTGCAGATAATTTAATTTCTAGTACAACTCTGAGAACCTGTCCAAATAGATAGCTTTGTTTTTGATAACTTTATTGAGATAAAATTTCATCCATTTAAGTGTACAGTTGAGTGAATTAAATTGATAGAATTACATAGCCATCACCACAGTCCTATGTAAGCACTAAGCTACTTTCTGTCTCTATAGGTTTGCCTCTTCTAGACGTTGCATATAAATGGAAACTTGGAATATACAAATAAGTTTTTTAATTTGTATCATAGTTCTTTTTCATTTGGCACATCCACACCCAAGAAAAACAGTACTCATTATCTTTAATTGTGCTGAAAGGAGAAAACAGGGCAGCAAGGGGGAGCTAATTAAAAGTATTTGTATAATTTATACATTGTTTGACCCATTTTGAAGGTGCACTTTGAGTTGATAATTGACAGGAGCAAGATTCCTAAAGCCTTGAAAATAATCAGTTTTGGTGGAGTTTTTATTGATGCTGCTGTTTAAGTAACTAAATTTAAAAAAAAAAATTTTTTTTTATCCTTATCTCCATCTTCCTTTTGTATCCATCATTTCTGTGAGTGGGAGTGGTTAAGGAATTTGAATTACTAGCACTTGCCAGTATAATTATAACAAGACTGGTTTTGTCTCTGGCCGTACCCTAGACTATAATCATAACCTACAGTCTCTCAAGGTGTGGTGTTATTCCATCTCAGTTTCATTTAGATGTGTTCATCTGGTTTATTGGTTAGAAGTACATTGCTAGAAAGGTTATCTTGATAAACTTAGTCCTCGTACTCACAGCCTCTCCCTTGACTGTATGTATGTACGTAGTCCAAGACCCAGCTCATAAGATGAGGTAGGAGAAAATTGACTATACTTCAGTAAAATTGGGGGAAAAACAGAATGAGGTGGGTGACTGGGACAACTTGAGTTGGGCAAGAAAGATATTTGATGTTGACATTGAGTCTTACCAGAGAAGTGCTAGTAAGGCAGTCACTATTTAGGTAATGAAATGAGAGGCAGAGAATTTTATAACATTGTGTTTTAGAAATTTGTTACAGGTACTGCTGTTTAGAACAGTTTGCTTTTTACATAGCAGTTAGCCAATATTTTGATGTTTTATTTATTTGATAAAGTTCAAATTCACACAATCTCTTTGTTGTGATATACTTCCTAGTGTGTTGGCTACATCATTTTTTATTAGAAGCCTTAATAATTTAGAAGGTCAGCATTGATTAGTATCAATTTTGACTCTTTGTCTTCAAGACTCATGTAATGAATGACCTTGTACTCCAACTCTCCCCTCTCCCATCAGGCAGGTATAGTTTGCCACCCAGTCTGTGGGCCTGAAAGTATCCTGACATAGGTGGCTTTCAGTGGATGGTTTACCAACTTAAAACATTGATAATTTTGTTAAAATTTACTGTATTGAAATTTTTTATTCAAATGTACATTTCCATGAAGGAATTTAAAAACCACTGCTTAACATGATAGACTTATTTCCTAAGTGTAACAAGCACTCTATGCTACCATTTCCTCCATTCCCTCTGCCCATGTTATTTTTTAAAATTTATTTATTTTCATTTATTTTTATTAGTTGGAGGCTAATTACTTTACAGTATTGTAGTGGTTTTTGCCATACATTGACATGAATCAGCCATGGATTTACATGTGTTCCCCATCCTGAGCCCCTCTCCCACCTCCCTCCCCATCCCTCTGGGTCATCCCAGTGCACCAGCCCCGAGCACTTGTCTCATGAGTCCAACCTGGACTGCCCCTGCCCATGTTATGACTGTAGTCCTGGAAAAGCTGAGGTATCTGTTGGATAAAATGTGAATGTATGTTACACTTTTCTGATGCCAGAGCTATCTGGTCTGTAGTAATAGGAAACTGCATTAGGGGTTCTGGCTCAGAATCTGAGGATTTGGAAGCTTGAAGAGACCTTGGCAGTTTTCCAGGAATCCTTTTGGAGCCAGATGCTCCTGGCTGTCTGAGGTGGCCTTAGGGGGGAAATGTAGAGAGGAAAGAAAGCAGCAGCCTGAGACTAAGTTATTAAGATGCTCAGGCAACAAGAGGAAGAATCTTAATTTTTGATGAAGAAGCCGACAGAGTGAGTTGTGAGTTGTTCTTGGTTGCCTTTGGAAATAGGAACCCACCTATGGTTTAAGAGTGGACAGGACAGGCTATATTGCAAACAGAGTTGGTGCTATTAAATAATTGTTGAGGCTTAATGATAATCCTTAATCAGTATATCTGGAATTCTGTTTTCAGACCTTCTATGGAATTTTAAAATAGTGCATATGAAACTAAGTTGTTGCTTATAAATCACACATCTCTTAAATATTACATATATCTAATTCTCTTTTTTTAATAAAAGCATAGTTTTTGAATATTGCCTTGGAGGACTTATCCTGAGAGTATGTACCTGCAGAACACCAGTCTCTTGTTTAACCATTTCACAGGTAAAAGAAGATATAACATTAAACTATGGAAAACTTTCACAGACTGCTTTAACTGTTTACCGATAGCAGCCATCGTGGATGAGAAAATATTCTGCTGTCATGGAGGTATGTGTGCTGATTTTAATTCCACGGAGATTTGGATTCTTCTAAAGAGTATACACTTTGGCATTGATGAATTAACATTCGGATGACTCCTCTGTGAGGCGACTCTCCTGTCCTGCTGTGTTACACCAGGAGGCCACTCTGCCGCATCCAGGGTCATCCAGGTTCAAGTCCAAAGTATGCAGTTGATTTGTTACAGAGAATTCTAGGCTCTAACAGTTAGCCTTGAAAATACAGTAGAAGGTATTTTAGAATATAAAGTAAACAATGCAGATCTTCTAGGATACTGAAAATGTGAATATACTTTCGCTTGGACTGTTTTTGATCCTTTCCTTTCAGAAATTTCTCTGACTTAGATGTTAAAAGTTATTTTGCTTAGCGGTTGTACTTTATATGATGTAATTAAAATAGTAATTGCAAAGAGGATATCTTTTCATCTGTGTCAGAAGTTAGACAACCATCAAAAAGCCAGCTCAACTATATTTTAATAAAACCACTATCCTTGTTCTCCTTATGTACTTATATACTGGTTTTGGTAGAGTTGGACATGTGATTTCTAAAGTCAGATTGAGAGCCAGTTACATCTGAGCTGGTTTGACTTTACAGTCCTTGGCCAGTGCAGGTTTCCTAGAAAGCTTCATCACCTGAGTGTCTGCATCTTCTACACCCAGTCACTACACGTGGTCATTAGGGTGCTGTGAATGTTGAAGTAACTTTCCTTGTCCTGTTCAGGCACACACTGCCCCACAAATTACTGCATGTAACAAGTTCTGGTGCCACCCCCCCACCTCTTTTTAACGAAAACTAATACGATAACCAAAGATTTCATGGAAGTTTTTGTAAGTCATTGAGTCTCTCTGTAGAGAAAGGGAAATGTTAAAGTGCTAACTTCCCTTTTAAAATTCTGTTTTCTTCCATTTTGGTTTTTTTTTTTCCCCTCATTTGATAGGTTTATCACCAGATCTTCAATCTATGGAGCAGATTCGGCGAATTATGCGACCAACTGATGTACCAGATCAAGGTCTTCTTTGTGATCTTTTGTGGTCTGACCCCGATAAAGATGTCTTAGGCTGGGGTGAAAATGACAGAGGAGTGTCCTTCACATTTGGTGCAGAAGTGGTTGCAAAATTTCTCCATAAGCATGATTTGGATCTTATATGTAGAGCCCATCAGGTATTGATTTTGAATTTTACATGTACACTTAAGAGCATGTGTGTGAGCACAGATTCTCCTTGTTGATTTTGGTGGGTAGGTATTGCTTATTTATACAAAATGTCTCTGGAAGTGACCTACAGGATATCAGGCTCAATGGGAAACTGAAGAGTGGTTTTACTCACCTAAAATTTGCACCTATTCACATTGAAAACATTTTCTCTCCAAGGTGGTTGAAGATGGATATGAATTTTTTGCAAAGAGGCAGTTGGTCACTCTGTTTTCTGCGCCCAATTATTGTGGAGAGTTTGACAATGCAGGTGCCATGATGAGTGTGGACGAAACACTAATGTGTTCTTTTCAGGTAGAGGATGTTTTCAGTATTGTTTCCTTTTATTGTGTCTGCATTTTATTGACTTTTTTAAAAAGTGCTGATTTCTGCCTATATTCATTTATGTAGACTAAAAATTTTTATTTTCCCTTAATTGGTGTTTGTCCTAGTTTAGTAATAAGTTAATTCCTTTTAAAGGAGTGAAATGATTGTAGAACTTTTGCCCCAAGTATTGAATTTAACTTAAAATCATGATATATTACTGTAAGTCTAAAGCTACAGTGTTAGTACAACGTTCAGCTAAAATGAAATCACCACTTGCACATGAAAGTAGTACTTACCGCCATGTGCCAGATGTGCCATGCGATTACTCAGTTCTCCCACCACGTCTCTGTTCCTAAAAAAAACCTCTGTTGATTGACCATGACATCATTTGGCCTTCACTTGGCACAAAAGAATCATTTACACATAGTTCAGTTCAGTCGCTCAGTCGTGTCCGACTCTTTGCGACCCCATGAATTGCAGCACACCAGGCCTCCCTGTCCATCACCAACTCCCAGAGTTTACTCAAACTCATGTCCATCGAGTCAGTGATGCCATCCAGCCATCTCATCCTCGGTCGTCCCCTTCTTCTCCTGCCCCCAATCCCTCCCGGCATCAGGGTCTTTTCCAACGAGTCAACTGTTCGCATGAGGTGGCCAAAGTATTGGAGTTTCAGCTTCAGCATCAGTCCTTCCAATGAACACCCAGGACTGATCTCCTTTAGGATGGACTGGTTGTCACATAAAAGTGAAGTCACTCAGTCGTGTCCGACTCTTTGTGACCCCATGGACTGTAATCTACCGGGGTCCTCCATCCATGGGATTTTCCAGGCAAGAATACTGGATTGGGTTGCCATTTCCTTCTGCAAGTCACGTAAAGCCTACTGCAATTTTTTTCTCATTCAGTCACTATGATTAAACTTACATGACTTCAGGCTCACCCAATCATAAACAAAAATACAGCCACTGAAGTCAAATCATCAGTTAACTGAATTAAAACAAGTGTTTTTGATTTTTCTTTTTAGTTATCAGGGAGTTCTTGCAACCCCCAGAGATTATGACATGATCCCCTAGGGGTTTGAGAAACACTGTTCTAAAGAACTTTACCCCCTGTGTCAGAAGGAATACCTAAAGGTGTGACTTCAAAAAACTGTCATTTTATGCAGAGGTGAAACAATTTGTTCAGATCATATATCATAGCAGTTCATAAGAGTATTTATTACCAAAATGTTTGTCAGATTGGTTTGTATTAATATGCCAGTGGAGCCTTCAAAGTTGGTGGGGCAATTTTAAACAAAAAAACTTTCTCAACAAAAGATTTGAGTGAAATCTAAGACTTGAGGTTAAGTGTATTTCCTAAAACGCATTGTCTTCTGAATCTTTGCAGATTTTAAAGCCTGCAGAGAAAAAGAAGCCGAATGCCACGAGACCCGTCACACCTCCAAGGGGTATGATCACAAAGCAAGCAAAGAAATAGATGTCATTTTGATACTGCCTAGTTGGGACTTGTAACATATAGTACATAACCTTCATTTTTAAAACTGTAATGTGTATTGGTCAGCTTGCTCAAATAGTGTTTGTGGGGCTCCCCCTTCCATTTTTGACTTAATGAATGGTATTTGCTGGTTATAACAGCAAATGATAGATTCTCCACTCCCAAGGAAAAATGTTTTGTTTAGTTCCCTGTTCCTTTTACAAACAACATTAATGATGGTGTTAAAGCTGTACACTCAGGACAGTGTCCCCTGTCTAAGGGGTGAGTGTACAACTGATCTTTTTTTAATTCAGTACAGCCCATGAATAATGTAAATGCTCATTTTCTTTAGGATATAAAGAGAGCCCTAGGGTGCTCAATCTGTACATGTTATTGTCATAAAATGCATACTGTTGGATACAAACCACTGTGAACTTTTTTGTTTCAAAGGGATTGCTTTTTTTTTTCCTCTCGTTGTCTTATCATGTACAAACTAGTTTTTATAGCTGTCAACATTAGGAGTAACTTTCAACTTTGCCAGCATCACTGGTATGTATATTTAATTAAAGCACACTTTCCCCTACAGTATACCTAAAATGACGATTAAAGCCATTATTTTAAATGTTTGTGACTCTTCCTGAAGCCAAAGTTTCTGTTGAAATATATATTGACGCTCCTCTAAGTAAGTACAAGGTGGCACGGTTGTGTACACCTGTCACCTTTATGGGGATTCAAAAACAGGTTTTTGAGTTTGAATAGCAGTTAGTAACATAGTGCTGTTTAAGCTATTAATGATTAAAGTTAATTACATTTTGTACGATTTCCATATAGTCTATTCATTAAGTAATCTTTTTACAGTTACATCAGGCCTGAACCCGTCCATTCAGAAAGCTTCAAATTATAGAAACAATACTGTTCTATACGAGTGACCGATTATGCATTCTTTGGCCTACATTCTTTATTCTGCGATGAAGTTGAGGCTTATAAGTCAAAACAAAGGAACTAACTTACTATCCACCAGTTTATACAGAACTCACAGTATCTATGACTTTTTTAAACTAAGATCTGTTAAAAAGAAATCTGTTGCAACAGATGACCGTGTACAATACCATGTGGTGAAAATTAATTCAGACTTATTAAATGATGAACTTGTTAAATCCTCTCAGTGTCAATTTATCAGCACAATACACACAGGAGAACTGTTGATGGCATATTGAATAGATTTTAATGAATAAATTGCTCTGCAAACCACACAGTTTCAATTTGGATTTGTCTTCCTTCAAATAGTCTGTTTTCCAAAGATGGATTGTAATATGGATGCTCATTCTTCAAATTCTTATTGGATATAACTAAGTTTCTGAAGTAGAGAGATGAGATTGAGCTATATTGGGAGGTGTGGGACTTGGTGAGTTGTGTGACAACATCTGTATCCATATTTTTTTGTCTGGGTTTATTTGAACTTGGCAATAAAATTCAAGAGCTACTTTTTAAATTAGGCTAAGTCAACCACCAGTGTTTTTATACACAAACCTTTGCTCTTTTCTCTTCCGTGATTCATATGAAACACAATGTTGTGTCCTACATTTTTCACAAGTGTGTTGAATGCATATTCATTTCTCTGGTACATTAAAAGTGGATGGAGAGCATGTCATTTGAAAAGCACATTCTATCAAAAACTGGTTGTCTCTTAGGGAGTTGGAAGAGGACCACCTAGTGGGGATTGTTTGAACCAACATTTGCTTGTGGGAGAAAAGAGCATAGTTTGTACTGCAAGTCCTGGCCCTGAGGCATCAGCCGTGTCTGTGCCCCCAGTGTGCTCCTGGGTGACCTCGTGACTTCTAACTCCTTCCAGCTCCTTCCTGCTCTACATTTGTGACAAATTCAGAGTTTGCTTATTCTACTTAAGATATTCTCCCAGGTCTCTAATGGAAGAAGATGAACAACAAGTTGTATCAGTTTCATGAATCTAATCTGTGTCTTGGACATTGTCAATTGTATCACTTCCAGGATTTCAAAATCCTATAAGATTGTAGAATTGAGCCATTTTGTACCCCATTGGGCTTGGGTTATAAAGTGTGGAGTGTAGTTCCTAGCTCAAAATTCTTCTGAAAAGAAGCACAGCACTGGTTAAGTAGAGAACAAAATCAACCTTTGGTTTTAGGACATGAGATCTTAGGAGAGACTCAAATAACTTGAACTTAGTATGTGAAGACACAACTTCAGATTTTGCCTTGTAGATCCCAGTCTGCACTAACCTTACTCTCTCATTTGTCCTTATTGCCATGTGCAGCTCAGGGAACATCTGCCTTTATACAAAGTCAAGGTCCCGGCTCCTCCTAGCTATGTGATTTGAGTGAGTGACTTAAATACAGTGTCCCTAGCTATAAAAACAGGGACAATATCTAATCTCTCTCTCACAGCGAATCACTAAATGAAGTAATGAGATCTGTTCAGAAGAATGCCTGACTTAGTATTCAGTAAATATTTAAAATTTGTTACCTTATAATTAGTCCCAGTTGTTTCTTACGTTTGAATATCTCAATTGGCTGAGTTCTAAGAACCATCTGCCTTTTGTGTGTAGCCCCTATTAGGACCCGATACTGAACCATGGCTAGCTAAGCATTTCTGAGCAGTAATTGCATACAGGATAGATATTTTCAGCAAATATGAAAGAAATAACTAGGAAATGAAGTTGTTGAAATTATTAGTGTAATTTTTTCCATTCTAGTTTTAAGTGGTTATAAAGTATTTCAGCTCTCAGGATGACAACACCATTACAGAACCATTCAGATAGATAGGTATTGCCATCCTTATTTAACATGATGCACATGTTATACATGATATGATATACATCCAAATAGTTAACATGATACTGTTTGAACTCATATCACAGAAATTACTGATAGGTATCTTCTGTACTACACTTGCCCACATCAAATATATCATCTTGTTTTTCAAGCCCCTTGATTTAAGACTAGAGGCTTTAAAAGCAACATCCACACGTGGAGTATGAGACATGGGAGCTGGGGACAAATGAATGCTGATTCATGAGGCACAGGATTTAGACTAATGGGAAAGAGGAGAACCTACGGTTCCCAATGTGGAGCTGTGATGAAAGGTTGAAAGAAAACTCAGTCTGTGAGAAAGTGAAGATGTAGATCAGCCAGTACAACTACAGCAAGGTGAGCATCTTGGTACCCAAGTAAGACAAAAGAGCCATTGTAGGGCGGTGCTGCATGGACAATGTTAGGTTTATTTTGACAGAAACAGACCCTCCAGGTAAGGGATCTCATCATCGTAGCATGAATGTAGTAGAAGAGAAGATAAAACTGGTGGTTGGCATGAGGGCAAAGAATGCTTTGTTCATGTCTGGTTACAATAGAAGATATTAAAAAATGCTCCTTCAAAAATAGAGAAGGGGCCCCTAGGGCTCAGTGGTAAAGAATCTAGCTGCCAGTGCAGGGGACGTGGGTTCCATCCCTGGTCTGGGAAGATCTCATTCCCTGGAAACTACAGCTGCTGAGCTCATGCTATCACTACTGAAGCTGGTCCACCTTGAGCCCATGCTCTGCCACAAGAGAAGCCCTCGCACTGCACCTAGAGAAAAATCCTCACGGCAATGAAAACCCAGCACAGCCAGAAATAAAAACAATTTTTAAAAAAAATTAAACTCATTTAAAAAATCAAAGAGGTTTCAAGTTCTATGTGCCAGCTTTGCACATCTGCTAGTTTGAGGCCACAAGGGTGGTTCTTCATTTCTTTTTTTAAAGTTATGTTAGGAAAATTTGAACAGGTACAGGCAAAAGCCAATTTTTGTTCATCTTCACTGGATTAAGTATGTGAACTGATAAGTGAAAATGAAGATGTACTATCAGTGCCTTCAGCCTCAACCCAAGAAATTGATTTACTTAAATTTTCTGCATCCATGAACTAGTACATGATTAATGATTGAACAGAAAGATGACTGCTACCCATTTGATCAGCAGTTAGCTCCCATCACCCAAACAGGCATGACATTTGGATTTATTGCAGATAAACTTGAGTCATTTCAAGTACAGATAAGCATTTTATTTGTGAGAATTATGTGTGTTGCCAGTTATTTGAATTATATGTTACAGAATAAAACATCAGTTAATTACAAGCAGTCTTGTAACTAAAAAGTTACAACTAAGAAATTTAGCAATAATTATGTAGGGAAATAGATTGTTACCTAGGTAAGGATGAACTTTATATTCGAGCTAACAGATTTATAAGGCACGCAAAATTGGAAATTAATCAGTGTAGCAATCTTTTAAATGCTTTTAAAATCTTTATCTTACTGTTTGAGGGTACAGCACTCAATTTGGTTGTAGTACCAGCCAAACGACTTCCACCAGCTTCAGGTAGAAGTGAGCATCTACTCGGTATTAAACAGATGTACAGATACTGACCGTAGGAGCAGTAAAGCAGATGATGTTGCTGAGTATCATTCCTGCCCAGTATCTACTTTAGATACTTCTAATAATTTAAAACTTAGATTTTCAGGGCATAAATTTCAAATTCATCCTTATGTCCCTAACAACTACTTCTCCAGTGGTGGTATTTGATTGTAACCAACTACTGAATTTTAATAATCATTCAGCCAAGATGTGTATTTGGTGTAATTGTAGAAAAATTACTAAAAAGAAAAATTACTAAGCAGCCACTTTAAAAATGTGCATTCCTTTTTTTCTTCTAGCCACCCAGTTAGCATATTATCAAATACTGTGTTTCCCAGGGATGACCAGCCCACACACCAGTTGTTCAGGGCTGATGAACAAGAGAACAGTAACCAGTCATTATGTTCTGGGACAGACTGGCAGCCTGACCTTTCCAGCAAAACCCTGGTGAGTTAGGTAGGTGCTGCAGGAGAGAGGGTGGGATTAGGGATGTTCTTGCTGAGGTTGGCAGAAGTTCATGTGCCATCTGCTGGAGTTCTGCTCATTTACACCACCACCCCTCCCCCATGAGCATTTAGTGGAGTCAAATTTTATACTTTTTATTTATCAAAACAAGCCACTCCCCAGGGTTTGATGTCCCACCAACAAACACCAACATCTTCCTTCTTATGTTTAGGTTTAATCTTTCTGAGTAGGGGAGTTGACTGTAACATCATAGACTTGATTCCCCTAGTCAGGAGGCTGTACAGTGTAAATAAGATGCACAGGTCCAGTGTGGTGGATCATGGGTTGATGGTTTTTTGCTCACCAGCTTTGCTTAGATTGATTTGAGGTCTGTTTCACGTTCCTCTTGCTGTTCTAGGACCATTGGGTATTTCTAATGATGGTGGACTAAGGAGAGGAAAGAAAACCAGTGATCCTAAGGTTTGCTGCAGTGCAGATTGCTTATTGGGTGCACATTTTGGTCACCATGATTTATTTTGATAATGTTTTTAAAATCCATAATCTTGCTCAGGTTAACACAATTTCATTTATATAGAGAGTTGAGAAAGGTGATCAGCATTCTCTTCTAATTCCAGGAAGCTAAGATTCCTGACAGTGCTGTTCAAATTTTTTGCCAGGTGGAGGCCTTCAAACAAAAACATCAAAGGCGACATATGTAAAATGAATAAAATCAGAAAGGCCCTGTTAGAAGCAGAGGCTTATCGTTCTACTTACAGGCCTGTAAGCATCAGTAGGATGTCAATATAACCTTCTACTGTAAGAGGCTTTCCAACTTTGTGAAGCTGTATCTAAGGTCTAATTAGCTAAGTAGGCTTTGGGTAGAAACTCAGAAACAAGTTAACCACTTTCAGAGTGATTTAGCTGCCTTTCATTTCTTAGTGTTGCATTATGAGACATAGTAGATCGGGAAAGCATTCTCCAGATCCTAACGCTGGTTTAGGAGACCAGCGTATTTCATTGGGGGTGTGCCAGTGCCACTTTTTTGTATCTTGAGAGAGTGTATGTCC